AATATGCAAAATATTAGAGTTTTGAGAAACTTACTGAAAATCGCAAATTCGATCGCACATGTTAAAATACGCAAAATATTAGAGTTTTGAGAAACTTATTGAAAATCAATAATTCGATGGTTTTACGATCGCACATGTTAAAATATGCAAAATATTAGAGTTTTGAGAAACTTACTGAAAATCACAAATTCGATGGTTTTACGATCGCACATGTTAAAATATGCAAAATATAAGTTTTGAGAAACTTATTGAAAATCACAAATTCGATGTTTTACGATCGCACATGTTAAAATATGCAAAATATAAGAGTTTTGAGAAACTTATTGAAAATCACAAATTCGATGGTTTCACGATCGCACATGTTAAAATATGCAAAATATAAGAGTTTTGAGAAACTTACTGAAAATCACAAATTCGATGGTTTTACGATCGCACATGTTAAAATATGCAAAATATAAGAGTTTTGAGAAACTTATTGAAAATCACAAATTCGATGGTTTTACGATCGCACATGTTAAAATATGCAAAATATAAGAGTTTTGAGAAACTTACTGAAAATCGCAAATTCGATCGCACATGTTAAAATACGCAAAATATTAGAGTTTTGAGAAACTTATTGAAAATCACAAATTCGATGGTTTTAGGATCGCACATGTTAAAATATGCAAAATATTAGAGTTTTGAAAACTTACTGAAAATCGCAAATTCGATCGCACATGTTAAAATACGCAAAATATTAGAGTTTTTAGAAACTTACTGAAAATCACAAATTCGATGGTTTTACGATCGTACATGTTAAAATGTGTAAAATTTTATTTTTTGAAATTTACTGAAAATCACTAATTCGATGGTTTTACGATCGGACATGTTAAAATATGCAAAATATAAGTTTTGAGAAACTTATTGAAAATCGCAAATTCGATCGCACATGTTAAAATACGCAAAATATTAGTTTTTAGACACTTACTGAAAATCACAAATTCGATCGCACATGTTAAAATACGCAAAATATTAGAGTTTTGAGAAACTTATTGAAAATCACAAATTCGATGGGTTTACGATCGCGCATGTTAAAATATGCAAAATATTAGAGTTTTGAGAAACTTACTGAAAATCGCAAATTCGA